CATCTAACTTGTCTCATATCTTATGACAGGAAAACACACATATCTAGTTGCCACTTCAATATTATTTGTAGAAATCTTCTCAGAAATACTAATGCTTCTTTCATTGTGCTGAAGGTGACAATCACACTATTTGCTCTGTAGTATAAAAGCTGAGTCCGCTCTACGCCAGTGTCTGATAGGCATTTCCTTTATCCTTTTCAGGCCTTCACCTGTCACCTGGTCTTTAAGCATATGCCATGTAACTATTGTATGATGATAGAATCTTATTTTTGGGTACCAATTTCAGTTTCAGTTATCTGTTGCTGTATAAGAAACCACCTTAAAAATCTAATGGCTTAAAACATTAAGTATTTATTTGTTCATGATTCTTTAATATTGACAGGATATGATTAGAGCAGCTTGGCAGTGTCTCACATAGTATCTACTGTGGCTGGCTGTCCATAAGGGTACCTTCTCTCACATATCTAGTGTCAGCTGGGATAGTTAGAACAGCTAGAGCCAGGCTGAGCTTCCTTAGCTCTCTCTCCAGATGGCCTTTCCCTATCTTCTTCAGAATTTGGCAATTGGGTTCCAAAGAGGAGCGCTCCAGCTAGACAGGCTTTAGAGTATAAGTGGTACTGGGCTTCCATTTGCATTTTGCTTCAAATGTCTCACTGGCCAAAGTCAATCACATCAGCCCAGCTCTGAGGAACCTCAGAGGCAGTTCTCCTTCTGGAGTGCATTTGGAAGAGGCAGCACTGCCTCTGCGGGAACAAAAGAGCTTGGTGGGCACCATTGAGCTACCCTTTCCCCAGCATACATGCAGTCACCTGCTGAGGACAGCTAACCTGTATGCCGGCTTTTTGGTGTGCTTCATCATAAACTCCAAGCTCCGGTGCAGTCGTGCGACTGCTTTTCTGGGATAAACTGGTAACAGCCACAACATGGTGGGATCCTGCCCCAGAGGATCAGCTTGGGACTAGACAACACTAGGTCCCTAAAACTTGGAGTTTTGAAACCCAGCTGCATGTTTGAGATAAAACACGGGGGCACTGCTCCACCTCCTGGACAGAAAGAGAGTGAAGGCAGGAATCTGATGGAAACCTGGGACATAAGAGGGGAGATTATTCACTTTTCTGTAAGGGCTTCCTGAACAGCAGTGGGCCTGAGCTCCCCTCCTCAGGAAGAGAGTGCCTAAGCCACTTTTCACTCTTCCCATCAGCACAGACAGACTTCAGTGAGCAGCACAGCACACAGAGTGGAGGGTTGAGCTGCTTACACCAAGCCTTGCCCCTCTGTGCTCCGCAGGTGCCTTTTTTAAATAGGGTGAGTGTGATTGAGAGCCAGCGCAGCAACAGGCCTCTCCCCAAAAGACCAGCACAAAACCCTCACATGCACCAGATCTACTGATCATAGAGTGCTGCGAAGCTTCAGCTCTAGTGGAAATATGATCAGGTACAGGCTTTCCTAACACACAAAAGAGAGAGACCTAGACAACATTCCAAGATAGAGGAATCCATTCCAAAACAAAGAACAAGAAGAGGTCATGGCCAGAGAGTTAACCAAAATCGATAAGTACTGTGCCTCAACCAGAATTTAAAAAACAATCATAAGGATACCAGTTGGTCTTGAGAAAAGGATTGAAGAAACCAGAAAGATCTTACCACAGAGATAAGAGATCTAAAAACTAGACAGTCTAAGATTTAAAAAAAAAAATGCTATAGCTGAAGTTCAAAACTGATTGTATGTAATGGCCATATGGATGGAAGAAGCAGAAGAATGAATGAGTGATAAAGAAGATAAAATTATGGAAAATAATGAAGCTGAAAAGAGGAAGGAAAGAAAAATATTAGATCACAAATGTAGACTTACAGAACTCAGTGTCTCTATAAAGTATAATAACATTTTTATCACAGGAGTCCTAGAAGAAGAAGAGAGGGAGAAAGGGCAGAAGGTTTATTTCAACAAATTATAGCTGAAAAATTCCTTAATTTGGGGAAAGAAACAGATATCCAAATCCACAGGGCAGAGAGAACTCCCATAATCAACAAAAGCAAGCCAACACCAAGACATATTGTAGTAAAATTTGCAAAGTACAGAGATAAGGAAAGAACCCTGATAGCAACGATGGAAAAGAAATCCTTAACTTAAAAGGGAAGACCCATAAGGCTGGCTACAGACTTATCAACAGAAACTTGGCAGGCCAGAAGGGAGAGGCATAATATATTCAACAGGCTGAATGGGAAAAATATGCAGCCATGAATACTTTATCCAAAAGGCTGTCATTCAGAACAGGATAGAAAAAGAATTGCCCAGAAAAGCAAAAACTAAAGGAGTTTGTGACCACTAAACCAGCCCTATAAAAAATATTAAAGGGTACTCCTTGAGTGGGAAAGAAAAACCAAAAGCAGTAATGACTAAAAAAGAACAGAGAAAATCTTCAGAAACAACAATTTTACAGGTAATGCAATAGCACTAAATTCATATCTATCAATAATCACTCTGAATGCAAATGGACTAAATGCTCCAATCAAAAGACATAGGGTATCAGAATCGATAAAACAAAGAGCCAAACAAACAAACAAGCAAAAAAACAAGATCAATCTATATGCTGCCTACAAGAGACTCATTTTAGACCCAAAGACACATCCAGATATAAAGTTAAAGGATGGAGAACCATCTATCATGCTAAAGGACATCAAAAGAAAGGCAGAGTAGCCATACTTATATTAGACAAACTAGATTTTAAACCAAAGACTGTAACAAGAGAGGAAGAGGGGCACTACATCATAATAAAGGGGCTATATAACAAGATCTAACAATTACAAAATATTTATGCCCCTAACTTGGAGAAACCCAAATATAAATCAATTAGTAACAAACATAAAGAAGCTCACTGATAACAATACAATAATACTAAGGCTCTTTAACACCCCACTTATAGCAATGAACAGATCATCTAAGCAGAAAATCTTTAAGGAAACAATGACTTTGAATGACACACTGGACCAGATAGACTTAACAGATATATAATAATATATTTTAAAGAATATGTATAAGGTGTGGGTTGTTTTTTGTTTTGTTTTGTTTTTTTCCTGTTAGAATGTGAACATTTGGATCACATGCTTTATTATATCTCCAGAGGCCTGTTATTATGTCAGGGTTAAAACTGTTTCTACAGTAAATGAAAGGTTAAGGATGTTGAGAATAATTAGAACCATTTCCATATTCCAGCATAACTGGTAACGGTAATTCCCATGCAACTGATAAGTGTATATTTGAGTCCAACCAATTCACCAAAAACAAATCATTGAATGCCAAAATTTAGTGTGAATTGGTCTTTCGCTAAATTGGACATTTATCAATTTGCTTTTAGGCAAATTGGCATCCTACGAATTGATTCTTGGTAAATTTCCTAATGCTCTCTTTGTTTAATGGCTTTAGAAGAGTCAACCTGTATAATTGAAGCCCTTGATTCAGGGTGGTTTGCTTTGTAGGAAAAGCAAATTAATCTGCAAAAAATTGACTTCTTTACAGTTATTTTTCTCCAGATAACAAATAATATGACTTTTTATTGTCTTCAGTGTTTTAGATTTCAAAAGCCTGGTCAGGCTAATTAATCCTATCTTTAAAAGGAAAGAAAAAAAAACTTTACCTTAATACTAAAACCATTTTAAAGTTTTTAACTTTAAATCTTTTTAACTTTAAACCTCAGACCAGGAGTTTGAGGAAACTTTACAAGGTATGTGAGCATTATACTTTGCTCATGCCCCCACTTTTATTCAAAGAGCTTCTTTGCATGTGTTAATTCAATAGGAAAGACTGTGCTTCAATTCTGTCTCTCTAGTATGTACTACATACCGGGAATGTGATAAATGTATTTATTCATTTTAACCAAATTCTACTACAACAAAACAATTTAGAGGCCCCATGGAGTCTATTATAATGGGATTTTACCTGTACTTTGATTGAATTAAAGAATCCTATATGGAAATCAGCTATTTAAACATCATCCACAAGGACTTGAATCATAATGTTTTTCTTTGAAGGAGCACATTATTTACCAGAGTTTTGGACAGAGGCTAATTAATCCACATTTTGGATGGTACCACTGCTGACTTCTGACAATGTGCTCTGCATCCCTCCACTCACATAATTCTCTCCCATAGAAAACCTGCATGAAATTTTCTAAGCAGGAATCCACATGAATTTCGTGGAAGTAGCTCAGACTTTTCATTATGCCTCTGATGTTTATAGGGGGATTATTTTCCCCCATTAAATAATATCATTTATTTAAAATCAGAAATTTGTTTTCACAATTTCATCTCATCCATTTACTTTTCTTCCCAAAATGTGTTTTAATATAGATGGTAAACACAGCCTGATTATTTTGTATAGTCATAACATCAACTGAAATAGGATATAATGACAGGCAATAATTACCAGAAAGCCATCTCATTATGATTATTTTAGCATTTGATAGAGGTTTTGCCTAAGGCAAAGCCAGGAGCCTCATTTATTTCAAAGAGATAAAAACAAGGAAATATGCACATTTGGCATTAAATATTATTATGCAATCAAGGTCTATGAAAGGTAGAAAGGAAATTTATATTCACATGTACATTCTTTCTGACCTTTGAGACTTCCTAGTGACCACAGGGACACTGTCAACCCTCCTACTGCAAGTCTAACTGTAGCCCCAGTCTGAAGAGCCAAGGATTGCACACATCTTTGTAATAACATCAGATTTCCATGTGACAAGATATTTGCTATTATATGTTATTTTTTTAATTGCAAGGCTGATGAGTTTAAGTCAACATATTTCTTTCCTGCTCCTTCTGCTTGTCAGCTGTAGCTGGATTGATAAAATGCAAATGAACAAATCATTAACGAGTACTGGTTATGAATCTCTCAGGCAGTTCAGGACCCTATCAAATCCTGCACCTATTACTTTGTGTGATTGATGTACTATTGTAAGTGATTGTTCCTGATCTTATTAAATCTTATTGATTTTTTCCTAGTTTCTATTTTATGCAGGGCCAGGCTTGGACTATTATGAATGTTGCTGAACACTGTTAATCAAGCTTACACAGCTATTTTGATGGCAAACAATTAGAACTCTGCAGCTCTACCTTGCAATTAGCTTCAGGGATATGGACCTCGCACCATAATAATGAAAGAGACCTCCTTCAAGCACGGTAATGAGATTTACAATTATGACCCCAAATAACCCTGAAAATAACCAATCTGCAAATTTAGATGTGTTTATCAATAATTTCACCATTTTTGTGAAAATGAATTCGAGAATTTTTCTCAAAAATGATATTTCCTAGCAGAATCATCCTTGTAATATATTATATCCATGTAATATATATTGCAAACGAAGCTTGAAGGGTTTTGATTCTTTAAAATTGCTGTTATAAACATTTTATGCGATAGCTGACTTAAAAATGCATAAGCAGATTAAAAATAATTCAAGCAATTTCTCAAATAGGTGCATGAAATTCATATTTTCCAAATAGGACAGTAGAATTTGTTAAATAAGGTATGGAACCTAAGTATCATTTGCTCTTTTTGCTAGTAAATTTATTTAACCAATTTTTATTAAGCATCTACTATGTAACTAGAGCTGCAGTCGAATCTATGAGTACACAAAGATAATTTAACATTACTTCTTTCTACATTGCTCTTATATAATATTGTAAATGTTTAAATTAATATAGCGAGAGTAGCCATGTCAATGTAATTCTATTTATGTCTATCATAGGGAATCTCATGGATAAATTTTATTCCAAACCTCTATATTCCTTAGGCACAAATTCTTTTTTGTTCCTCATTCCTAGCAAAAGAGAGCATTTCCTTCTTTATTTAGAATGTAGTGTCTGGTGAGATTTTTCTTATCCAACCACATCTTTTCCCTCTTGTCACTTAGGGAGAAATGCTATCTTTACCTATTTCTTCAGCAATGATTTTATTCCCACACCCTCTTTACTTCTTATTTGCCTTATTGCATTAATTTAATGTTTCCAGTTTATACTTGCTCTCTTTCCACTGACACTTTTTTCTTTGAAAAACACAGGTTATTCACTCCCTGGAGCAAAGCAACTAATTAACTAGCCATCCCAACTTATATTTGATGCTGACGTTCTGTAACTCTACAATTTCTTTCACTTTTCTTTCAAAATTCTGCATCTAATGTTTGATGACTACGGTCTCCACTGTAAGGCATATGGCATTTTGAAGAACAACCCTGTTGGCAAAGGCTAAAAATAAACCATTAAACTTCCAGAGTGTTTAATAGCAAGAAAAGTGTTAAGACAGACCTCACCCATCCTGAAGCCTCACTATATGTCAGGCGTGGGGTGAGGTTGATACAAGGTCAGAGCTGTGATAAGAGTCGGGGATATTAGTTTCCAACAATTACTAACTCCTGGCCCATTATAGCCTGGCCTGCATGACTCTTGGTTAAACAAACAGCCATTCTGATTTTAGCTTCCTTATTTTTCTTGGTGGTATCTTGCAATGAGAAGTAGAAAGAGCAAGATAGTAGTTTTAAGGTCAGAAAATAGAATATTTGGAGCCTTGTTTTAAACCACTTATGAGTTAGGTAATATTGGAAAAATTACTTAAATCCTTCTGAGCCTCAGCTTCCTTATTTGATATTTAGAACTCACTGAGGGCCATTTTCAAAGATTGGAAGTAATGTATTAGAATAATGTATTGCACTGCACAGGATCATAAATTGCCTACCTCACTTACGCCATCTTCCCAGAGAATATGTCCCTACCAGCAGCACTTTGAAAGAAATAGGCTTCATAACTTCCTACACTCCTAACCACTGTTGATGCTAATTAGATCAGGGGAGAGACATTTGACCCCAGCCTATGCCAAAGAGAAATTTTGTCTCTCTGTCATTGTCTCTGTCTCTGTCTCCCTCTCCCTCTCGCTCATTCTTGCTCTCCCTCTCTATCTCTCCCATTCTTACTAACACAAGAAGAGTTCACTAGCATTTGAGAGTGACATTCTATTTCTATAAAATTAAAGTCTGAATTTTTATCAATGCAAAACAAAGGGAAATGCAAGTTGAAATTATAAAGAATCATTAGGACAGCCTGCCAATACACAGCAGAAAATGGTGCAGATGTGCCTCTAAAAACAGGTTAAGATACCCATGGGTGGGAAGTGATAAAGAGATAAAGATAAAGCGGGGTGGGAGAGAAACAGGGAGAGAAAGAGAGAGAGAGATTGATTTAGCGCAAAAGCACATACAAGTACTATAAAATCTGGCTATGCTTAAACAGTGTCAAACCTTATCATCTTAACCCTTCCTTACATTTTTGCTGCTGTTTTCTTTTGTTTGCTTGTTTGAGCTAATCTTAGTCAATCTTTGTCCAATAAATGGCAGCTTCTGTTATTTATTCATTCAAGGGGGTTTATGATGACCTATTCTATTCTCAGAGAACAATAGTGAAGAAATCAGACAAAAACTCTGCCTTTTGAAGTTTTCCTTGAACTTCCTCTTTTACAAGTCTTCCTCTCTTAAAACCTGGGAGTGATTTGTCACTTAACTGTTTTAAATTTCGTATCCAGTTCATCAGTGAATGTTGGGACTCTTACTGGTAGGAATTGCCTATTCTTCACTGACTCTGCCTTGGGCCTGTTCCTCGTGGCAGCACAGACACCTACTGCCCCGGCCTCCTTATCTCTTTTGTCATACCTTTCCAGACTTTTCTACAAACTTACAGACAAATCATAGAGCAAAATTTTAACTGTGTTATTTCCTTGTTTAAAAAAAATTGATGACTTATCCATAAATCCAAACTCTTTTAGCCATATATTAAAAGCTCACTAACATTAACCAATTTTTCCAACTAGATTTTCTACCAACTTCTAAATCAATTGCTCTACATTATTAATACTATATATAATTTTATACTTGCATTTCTGTTTGTGTTTGAATTCTGTTTCTTTCCTAGAGTGAAATACTTTTCTCTTTGAATTTTTGCTTTAGGGAATGTTTTGACACTGTGCAATAATGCTTTCTGAGTTTGAATCTTAGTCTTCTCCCTTTTTTAGTTATGAAGCACTGAGGGAGCTATTTAACCAACCTGTGCCCTGATTGTTTTATCTACTTAAAATAGCACTTATCTCATAAAGCTTTTCATTCCATTTTTTTAGGATTGCAGTAGGCAGCCTCTAAGATGGATGCCAATGATCTTTGGCTTTCTGGTTTTCACACACTTGTGTAATGCCACACCTTTGATTATGGGCCAAACTTCCTAATTTGCTTCTAATGTATAAAATATGGCAGTAGTGATGGATGTTGCTTCTGAAATTAAGTTAAAATGACTGTGGCTTCCTTCTTGGGTACTGTCTCTTGCTCTCCTTTGGAATGTTCACCTTGGAGAAAGCTAGCTACTTATGTCATGAGGCAGCCCTATAGAAATGTTCACTTGAGTGCACTTGTAAGGAGACCTCCTGAGGCCTGCTATCAACCAAATAAGTTTGGAAGTGTGTACTTCAGTCCATCGATCCTTGAAGTTACTGCAGCATTGACTGAATGACAACATGGCTACAACCTTATGAAACATCTGGATCCAGAAGCCCAGCTAAGCTATGCCTCGACACCTGACCCACAAAATTTATGAGATCATAAATGTTTGTAGTTTGAAGCTGTTAATTTTGGGCATAATTTGTCATCCAGCAATAGATGACTAAGAGAAGAATTAAATAAGGTAATGAAAATTCATGTAAAGAGCTCAAGTACCCAAAAAAATGTTGACTGCTAATTGTATTGCTAATACTATGGGCCACATTCACTCTTCTTTATTCTGAATTTTCATGGGGTAAATATATTACAATCCTTAGCAATCTTATGGTTATAATTTGGCACTGTAGACTATTAAATAAATTATATTTAACAAACTATAATTATACACACACACACACACACACACATATAACCACCTCTGGAAGATAAAAATTGTGTTTCCACCCCTAGTACTCTAGTACTTGCAAGCATTTGTCACAAATTTTGTCAGCTACCTATCTGCTATGGCCTATCAAACAGAATCCACACTGTGCATGATCTGAAACTCTGGTATGTGTTTGAGAACTTCCTGGGCCAGTTCCTTGGGGGTGAAATTTACGGCATCGACATGGTAGTTCCTCATGGAGAGGGACTATGCTGGGCACTTCATGACATCTAAGGTGGCCCTGAGGAAGTCACTGGGTGCACATCATTAGGAGCCTTGCATTGAATTTCAGGTCACACTTCAATTTGCCATGCTTTACAAGAATTAAAATACACACACACACACACACACACACACATACATGCACACGCGCACACACACACACACACACACACACACACACACACACCCCTAGATGCACATATATATGTCTTTGAGGTCAAGACTCCTTTGGCTTTATCTTTTCCAAGCACTGTGTTAAGCCTATACAGAATGTGAATTTATTGCATGATGAATAAATTTATGCCAGATAGAATGACACACTTTGATCCATTAGACTTGCTTTAAGAAAACTCTGCAAGCTGCAGAACTGGTATTTCTGGAATCCATTTAGGGGTGACTGTGAATTGGGTCAAAGGGAATTAAACAGATGGAATTATCTGGTTTCATTTGAGTGAGCTGAGAAAATAGAGATAGCACAGCTTTGGTTTCCATAGTCAGCAGCATATAACCTTTCATTTAATATTGGACCAAATATAGATAATCAAGACCAATTTATATTATCAAAAGTCATTTCAAATACTAGTAAATACTAAACCCACATACCACTGGCCTTGAAAGCTTATATTGTGGAAGAAGAAATTCAAATTGCTTTGTGTGTGCTTTAAATATTGTCTAACAGCTAGCTTATTTGTTTATGTGCCTTTTTTCATCACATCCATTAGTTTAAATATTACATGGTTGCACAAATTAAACTGATACAGGCATTCAGTTAGAAACCTGGAGGCAAGTTTCTGACCTAAAAAGCACACAGATTTGGTAGACTGACAGATCTGGGCTCAAATCCAGATTCATTCACTTGCTAAATTTGTGCCTTTGAGCAAATTATATAATTTTCTGAATCTCAGTTTCTCATTGTCTAAAATGGGGTAATATTTGCCTCAGAATTATTTGGTGATTAAATAAGTTTATATAGTACCTTCTACACAGAAATCACCAGTCCC